GGGTCTTATTTTCCTATCCTCTGGAACATGGGAGACAGTCTGGGAATGAATTGTTAAACAGATCAATAGAAGATTTGTTTTTCTTTTTTCAAATTGGAACACTGTAAGACAGATATCCCAACACATACCTGTAATCCCAGCACTTGAGAGACCGAGGAAGGAAGATTGCCATGAATTTGAGTCCAGCCTAGGCTATAGATTTTGTGATTCCCATCTCAAAAACAGCAGCAACAAATGATTGTAACTTTTTTTTAACTGACTATTATTGCAAAATCCTTAAAGCAGTGGTTCTCAGCCTGTAGGTTGCAACCCCTTTGGCAAAACCTATCTACAAAAACACATTACGATTGGTAGCAGTAGCAACATTACAGTAGCAATGAACATAATTTTATGGTTGGGGATCACCACACCATGAAGAATTGTTTTAAAGGGCTGCAGCCTTAGGAGGGTTGCAAACCACTCACGTACAGGGCTGTGCTTAGATGGAGGGGACATGCTTTAGTTTTCTGAAGAAAGTGTAGTGAAAGGGATCAGTGTTGGAGCCAAGCAGCCCAACTTGGAAACTAGTGGATATTTTCAGAAGACAGGTGGCAGGGGTGTGGCTTGAAGATGGACTTCGCCTTTCCTTTTAATGGTGTGGGAAGTCACTCTAGAGACTTTAGTGAGAAGCAACGTGATCTGACTTAACCGTAAAAAGTTACCCTGAGTCCTATCAGGATTGGACAAAATGGTAGGGATATTGTCTTATTGTTGATACTGCTTCTTCTTTGTGTTTGCATCTGTTGCACTGCCTGACCGTGCCAGTCTGGTGCCAGGAGCACCTTCTTAGTTTCCATAGCCGCGTTAGAATGCTCCGTATATTCTGCGGAGTATTCAGTCATGCCCTCCTGCCTAGGCCTGACTTGCATTCTTTTTTCCTTTTCTCCTTATAAAAAAGGGGTAATTGCTTCTACTTGTAACTCTGCTCTTCTATGTAGACTGTGAAATCAGCTTGCTTGATGAGAATTGCATTGACTGTATGGATTAACATGAGATGAGTTGTCATTTTTGTAGCATTGAACCATGTTAGTCTTAAAATTTGAATAATTTTTATTTATTTAGGTTTTCTTTAATGCCTTTGAAAAAGGTTTTATGCATTTGCATTAGAGATCTTAATTATCTTTTGTCATGTAAAATCCTAAATTTTTCTTTTTGTTCTTGTAAATGTGGTCTACTTAGATGTTTACAACTATATTGATATTTATGTATGAAGTCTATGTTCCGCTCCCTTGTTAGTTTCTGAACTTCTAACAGTTTTCAGTTATTATCCTGTCACGTTTCCCTCCCTCCTTCCCTCCCTCCCTCCCTCCCTCCCTCCCTCCCTCCCTCCCTCCCTCCCTTCCTTTCTTCCCCCTGTCCTACTTCTGCAAACAATAACTGTTTTAAAAGGAAGAAATAAATATAAACAAAGAAATTGCCTTTGCTGCCTGCCTATGGGATCTGAAACTTGTGAAAAGTAAGGGTCCCATGTAGGGTAGGTAAGTAGACAGAACTCGCCTTTTTAGATATGTTGGTGAGAATGTACGTGGGGGCAATGTAAACTAACTTTTCCCCTTCTTTCTCCTCCCCTCCTTCCCTACTTTTCCTTCCCATTCTCCCCTCTCTTGTTCTTTTCCCTTTCCACTTCCCCATCTCTCTTTTTCATATTTTATTTTTTATTTATCATTTCTGTGTATGTGTACGTGTGTGGAGTGGATATCCCTTGGCAGTTGGTTCTTTCCTCTCATCATGGGATCCCAGGAGTTGACCTCAAGTTGCAAAATTCAAAAATTCTTTTTCTTATCTGAGCTGTCCTCAGCCCCTCTTGTTTGTTTGTTGTCATAGGGTGTCACTTTATCGTCCAGGCTGGCCTCCTGTGACTACCTTCTTTCTGAATGCTGGGGTCATAGGTGTGCATCACCATTTCTGATTTCTTGTACATTTATATCTATAGTTCTCTCTTTTGAATCCTCTACATTTTATAAATTTATGTGTGTACATGTACCCCATACTTTGCTGGAAAGACTAGAACCTAACACGTTTTAATAATGTTTAGAAAATAAGTATGAATAGGTAGAGTTCAATGTTATATTTTTAATATCTATCTATCTATCTATTTTGTTTTTTAATATTTATTTATTTATTTATTATGTATACAATATTCTGTCTGCGTGTATGCCTGAAGGCCAGAAGAGGGCACCAGACCTCATTACAGATGGTTATCAGCCACTATGTGGTTGCTGGGAATTGAACTCAGGACCTTTGGAAGAGCAGGCAGTGCTCTTAACCCCTGAGCCATCTCTCCAGCCCCCTCTATTTTGGTTTTTCAAGACAGGATTTCTCTGCATAACAGCCCTAGCTGTCCTGGAGCTAGCTCTGTAGACCAGGATGGCCTCAAACACTGAGATCTGCCTGCATCTGCGCCCTGAGTGCTGGGATTAAAGGCGTGCACCACCTCTGCCCAGCTTAATATTTACTTTTAAAGATTTTAGTTTTAATTGTGAACATGAGTGCAGTACCCCAGAAGACCAGAAGAGGGTGGTGGATCCCTCGGAATTGGAGTTATAAGCACTTGTGGGCAGCCTATGTAGGTGCTGAGAACCAAACTTGGATCCTTTATAAGAACAAAGTTCTCTGAACCACTGAGCCATCTCTCCAGTCCCAATGTATTTAATTAAAAGAAAACAAAAACTGCCTGATAATTTACATTTAAGACGATTGGTTGCAGGTTTTTGTTTTTGTTTTCCTTTTTCTTTTTTTGTGATAACATCTGACTGTGTAGATCTGACTGGCCTTGAACATGTGGAAACCCTTCTGCCTCTACCTCTGAGTGTTGGGATTAACAGGGCGTTTCACTATGCCTAGCTGTTGCAGGTTCTGTGTGGTCACATATCTTTATCAGGATAAGGACATTTAAAAATCATTTAATTATGAACATGCTAATTCTGTGGAAGTCTTGTCCTAATTTGCATTCCCACCATCATGTCTGAGAGAATACTTCCTGTCTACATATTACATAGGGTACTCTTACATTTTTTAAGTTTGAGATTCTACAGACAACAAAAAAATTCTTAGTTTAGATTTTTCTTACTTTTATAACATTTTTTAAAACTTAGTTATTATTTGTAGAAGAAGCAGGGCAAAAATGATGTTTTTAAATAGAACTACAACAAACAAACTAGAGCATTGTTTTCTAGAACATCAGTATTGTCGCACTCAGCACTGTAGACAGTACTGTGTAAGCAGTACTAACGTGTAAGCATGTCAATTTTGTCTGTTTTGTTTTGACCTTGAACTCACAATTTGACCGAGGCTAGGTATGGACTGCTGATCCTCCTGCCTCAGCATCCCAAGTGCTGAAATGACAGTCGTATACCACCACGTCTGGCTCGATTTGGGCTTTACATTTCTGGTAGAATTGCCACAGAAGTTGTGATGTGGTGTGTTTTCTCAGGAGACATAATGTTGGTTTCTTCCATTATTGACCATATACTTTGATTGCTTAATTATGGTTGTGTCTGGCAGGATTCTTCACCATTAAAATTACACCTTGTCTTTTTGCAAGTAATAGGTGTCATGTCAGTGGATCCTTTGAGATAAGATATATCGCTTTTCCTGTAACTTTCAACTGTAAGTTTTAGCACATATTGGTGACACTTGCAGAGTTATTGCTAAATGGAGAGTTTGTAATTCCATCACTACCTTTATTATTTGTTAGAAAGCTTCATAAAAAGCTTTGCCTGCATTTATTTATGAACACATTTTTATTTTAGTCTGCAGATTATAATTTATTACTATCTTCATTATTTTTTACTTTTGAGATATTACCCATATGGCCAGTCTGAATCAGTTTAGCTTGGCTCCTGAGTTCACTTGATATGCCCTGGTTGTTCTTTGAGCGCTTCCTTACGTTCTGGCTCTGCACTTTTTCTGCTCTGGTCTTAAATTAGTCACTTCTCCAAAGAACCCAAAGTCCTTTCCCTAGAATATGCACTGTGCTCAGAGCTGTTGCTGTGTACTACCTGGAGGCGCCCCCATGGCACAGAGGTAGGGCATATATGTATGCGAGGACATAAACACTTATGTCATTTTCTTGCCCTTTCGCGTTTGTATTTCTTTTGTGAGGGTAAGAGATGAAAGTCTCAGTTCAGCACGGGGAAAGTAGGCCTCATAAGGCCCCTCCCTGAGCAGAGAGACTATTGGCAGTTAACAGACGCTGTCAGTCTCCTTCAGAGATATGGCCCAGGGTAGGTTGTCTGTGCTCCAGTGGATGGCGCCCTATACCCATGCACATCCTGGCTTTACTAACTGGACTCTGTTTTACAAAGAAAAGACACGAAGTTGGGAAGGAGAAGTAGTGGTAGGTGTCTAGGAGGAGTTCGAGGTTCAGGTTGAGGGAAGCAGAGTGTGTGTCTGTGTGTGTATGTATGTGTGTGTGATGAATCTTCGTGTATGAAATTCCCAAAGAATAAAAATAATTCACAACAGAAACAGATGTCTCATTAGTTACTACATATTTATTTACCTGTTCAGTTCTAGAATATAGATGAGAAGTTTCTTGTCGTCTAGGTGTGATGGCACACAACTTTAGACTCAGCACTCCAGCACATGGCTGACAGAGGCACATGGATGTCTGAGTTCCAGCCAGGGCTACGTAGTGAGACTGTCTTTAAGAAATTATCCTATCACCATTAAAGAAAACATCTCCAATCTGAGTGGTTGAATACAATGTTGTTGTTATGAGATTGAGGATATTAGGTAAAGTACCATGTTCAAAAGTTAACTGGTCCCCCTTAATTGTGGTCATGGTATTAATTTTAAATTATAAGAGGTTCATTTCATTTGAGGTTCTTTCTCCCTAATTTTTTTTTACAGCATACGAAAGAAACATTAACATGGTTTAGAAAACGTTTTACAATGCTATAATAAGTTGAGTGTTGTAACATAATGCTAACGGTGTTTCACTGTGTTTGTTCTTTCAGGGACACGTTTAATACGTCATCATTGAATGAATGTATGAAAGTTCCTTGCCAAGCATTCTTCGTTGGGACCTTCTTTTTTCTGCTTACTGAATAATTTTTTTCAGAAGTTCCTTTTTTTTTTTTTTGGTGCCATGTTCTGTGGCCTACATCAAAAGAGGAGTTTGTCTTCATGAAGATTCCTAACATTGGTAATGTGATGAATAAATTTGAGATCCTTGGGGTTGTAGGTGAAGGTAAGTTAGACTTTCACCTTTGAACTTCGGAACATTTTATCATTTCATTCATCACCAAAAACTTCATTCAGATCCTCTTAATTTATCATACCAATTCAGATGTGCACCTAAGTGTGCAGCAGTAAAAATAAAACTGTTCTTCTTATTCCAAGTGAAAACCAATACCATTAAAAACATTCAAGTTTAATAGATTTTTTTTGAGACCAAGTCTTTCTATGTATCCTTTGATGTCCTGGAACTTGCTCTTTAGACTAGGCTGGCCTTGAACTCGGAGTTCTGCCTGTCTCTGGAGTGCTGAGGTTAAAGGCATGAGCCACCATCCCTGGCAATCAGGGATATTTTAAAACTGCCCTGATTTTATTCTCTTCACTAGTATTGTTTCCTTAGTCTATGGATTTTTGTTATTTTTACATTGTATATCATTTAAGCTTATATTAAGTAACTTAAATTTTATTTGTATATGCTAACTTTAATTCACTATATGGTAAACAGAGAAATAACTTCCATTTATTTGAGAATAACAGACCATAGTTTACAAGCTTTCAGGTACACAATTCGGTTGTATTTTATAACATCTTAAATCAGCATGCATGTTAGGGTTTAATGCTATCAATTTTTCTTTATTGTAGTACATAACATGATGCTTTTATGATCAAAGACACTATTGATTTGATAGAGTATAATTATTTCTTCAAAAATAGAATTCTAGAAAAAGATAATTACCCTATTTTTCTTGCTTAGTCATTTTGACTCTTAGAAATAAATTTGCAGAAATTTATAAAAATTATTTTAATACAGTATCAGTGAAAATGTGGTTTCTTAACATTTATATAAAAAGCAAATATTACAAAATTTTGTATTTTAGGCTTTTAAAATAAAATTTGAATTTCAAAAATTTAAAAATTTTACAGAGCTCTTCAAGATTTTAATATTATGTTGCCAAATCCTTCGCAAATAAATAGAAGCTATGAGAGTCTGATTGTAAATTAGGTGCTTGATTCAAGGTCTAAGGTTCAGACCACACACCATTTGGTTCTTCTTCCTTCACTAGCCAACTCCTCTTCTTCTCTTCATTGATACTATGTATGAAAATTGACTCTTAATTGTTGACCTGTTTTATAAAATTTGCCTTTTCGGGCCAGCAAAGATGCTTGAAGCCGCCAATGCTGAGAACCTGAGTTCTGTCCCAGAACCACAGGTCAAAGGAGCCGTCCTCTCCTTCCACGTGCACTGTGGCATGTGTGCGCTCCCCTATACATAAATGAATGTAGAAAATAAATTTTCCATACTGCTTGTCCACATTTTATTTTTCAAAGCTATTGCAGTTAAAGATGTATGCAATCAAGGGAGAAGGGCGTGTCGAGTATAGCAAGGTTGGAATGGTCCAAAGTTTGGGTCTGACTGCCTAGATAACCTTCTCTTTCTAAGCGGCAGTTAACGATAATCTTTTTAGGTATTGGTTCAGATTAGCCAAAATTGCAAGGCTGTTTGTTTAGGTCAGACATTGTTGTTCCGCTTTTTCTTAGTAAACTCACTCAGTTGGATTTGGGGTAGGAAGTGCATCTGTCTGGCATACACATTCCTGTGGCCTAGATGATGCATTTTCACTTAATAGAAAAGTTTCTGTGGAGTGCCTATTTCCTGGTAACTGTGGCGTTCATTTGGATGGTTCTAATTGCTGCTTCCATCTTAACTATGATTCTAAGAGTCATGCCTCTCCAGCAAAATGAAGGAGCCACTTTAAGGTGTGCTAGACTCTTAGAGACATATTTCCGAGTTTCATCTCACTCAAGTCCACCCCCTTCTCATAGTTGCATTCAGGAATTACCTGTTTGATAACAAACATGTTTGTCATGGGTCTTCAGAGCCCCATCATATATGTTATGTCTTGATTCTTTTTGTGTGTGTGCATGTGTGTGTGTGTATGTGTGTGTGTGTGTGTGTGTGTGTGTGTGTGTGTGTGTGAGAGAGAGAGAGAGAGAGAGAGAGAGAGAGAGAGAGAGAGAGAGGGAGGGAGGGAGAGAAGGGGGGGTTTCTCTGTCTGTGGCTCTGACTGTCCTAGAACTCACTCTGTAGACCAAGCTGGCTTTGAACTCACAGCGATCCAGCCATCTCTGCCTCCTGAGTGCTGGGATTAAAGGTGTGCAGCCCCCCCGCCCCCCACTGTCTTGATTCTTTTAATTAAATTTTTCATATTGTAACTTTAATCTTAGTTTTCTGCGTACTTTCCTGCCAAGATACTGTTTCTTTGAGTTTACTGCCGACATAATAGGATGGCTAACTCAAGAGCTAGGAAGAGATCATATCAGAATAAACCAAAGAAAGTGGTAGTTCTTGGGGCCTGTGCTCCTAAGCTGAGCTTTTGTGCTTAGAAGGATAGAAACTCTTACTATTTAATGGGATTACTGAGTCTAGTAATTTTGGAGGGCATGTGTGTACGTGTGATACTGAATATAGGACCCAGGACCTCATGCATGGAAGGCAAGCACTCTACCACTGAACCTCACCCCTAGCTCCAACAAAGAATATTCCACCTGTTAGGAAATATATTACAGTATTCCAGAAGATGTATTACGTGATTCCTAGGACTGAATTTACATGGGTAAGCTCTGCGTTTGACCTTATCCTTAGTTTTACGTTCCCTAGAACCTACTGAGTTGATTTTTATTTGAGATGTTGTCTTGTGTGTACCCCTGACTGTCTTGGCTATGCAGTCCATGATGGCCTCATGCTGATGGCAGCCATCTTGCCTCAGACTTCCAAGTGCTGTGCCTACCATGTGCACCACTATACCCAGTTCACACAGCCTCACAGTCCTAGGTCTGTTTGTTTATTTTATTTATGTATTTGGCCCCTTCTTGCCTAAAATAACAAATGTGTGTAGCGAATATTTCTCTTTTTTTGAGACAAGGTTTGTGAAGATTTTTTTTTTAAAAAGAAGCATTTAAAGATACTTATTGAAAGCAATGATTTGTCTATACTCTTGGTTTATAAAAATCCATACTAACAGATCCATGCTCTGTTTGTATGTCTCATGAGTTTGTCACGCTAGAATATTGCCATAGGTGTTGTTTTCTAACATATGCTCATAGGCAATGTGAATATAAAGCTATAGTTTGTATGCATGTCTCTGATTGCTTTCTTCTTTTTAATTATAGGAGCCTATGGAGTTGTGCTTAAATGCAGACACAAGGCAAGTACATGATTTTTACAAGGAAAAATATGTATTATTTCAACTGTTTTCAAACTAACGCAATGTTCTTTACACGTGGGCATGTAATTAAAATTGTCTGGTTGAGTAGTGACTCCTAATGACATAGAGTTGATATGTTAACCCAGAGAAAAGGCAGCTTTGGGGATAAGCATCATCATGGTAAGTGATCATTAGCTTCTAGTTTTCCAGCTACATGCTATTTTTTAAAGGCAGTCTATTTGTGAAAAGTTATATAATGGGAAGAAAACGGTTGGATGGAAAGAAGGAAGATAGTGACGTATTAAATTTATAATGAGTTACTCAGGAGCAAGGAGGAGTCTTGTGTGATTTTCATGGAGGCCCAGTTGATTACTGGATGGATCCCCATCTGGGTTTTGAAAGGTAGTGTGAGTGGGTAGATGTTTGGCTGTGCACTGGGATTTGGAATAATATTATATGGTTATGCGTACTGGCTCTAGTTGGTCACTCTCAAAATCAATCTTATTATAGGTTTTTGACTACAGCAACCATAAATTTTTCATAAAGTCGTTAGAAGTTTCCTAGCTGTTACTTACTGAATGCGTCTTGCTCAGAGGCTAAATTTAAGATGGCAAGTATTGAAATTGCAACAATTTTAAACATGTAGTTAAATATTTTTCTATTTGAATGTAATGGTCAAAGTAGTGGTATTTGGCCTCATGTTATTTTGTTTTAATTTTAAGATCAAGGCTTTAATATTTTGTGATTTTTTTTTTGGTGATACAGTTTGGGTCTGAAATGAATTCAACTATTGGACTCAAATCATTTAATCATTTGAATCTATCATCCATCAATAGTAGTGTTTATCTATAAATAATGAAAATTTTTCTGCTGGCTCTTTCTTATAAGTCTTGCTATCTTTTGACTTTGGAACCCATGACAGTATGGTTTTGTGTTGTCTATCACAGATCTATTTTGATACAGTGACTTTCCAATTCTTGAATTTGAATGTTTGAATTATTTTTATGTTGAAAAATAATCTGTAGCTCTTTGTCAGTAACTAATCCTCAAAAATTGAATGCTACTGGCTCTTAATTAAGGATGATTAAGAATTTAAAATAAATGCAATCAAAAATAAATTTAGTACCTTGAATACCTCGTTAAGAAGTATTACTGTAGTTTGAAATTAAACAAATGCAAGTTCCCTAATGAAATGCTCTTCTTGTAATGAGTCTCCTTGAGTTATAATACATTTCTAAAGCTTCAGGAAACAGAATTTCTGGAGGGGGATGGGGCTGGCGTATTACTTGTGAAAAGTTCGTTTCCAAGTTACATTTGACTCTCGTGAGCGTAATACTGTTCTGCTATGACTCTATTTTGTACAGCCTCGTAAATAGATGTTTCAGTTCTTCCTTGTGGGTTTTACTTTTTATTCTTTTTTGAGACATGGCCTCAAACATCCCAGGCTGTCCTCAGAGTCACTATGTAGTCTGAAGTGGGTGACACTGAACTTCTAATCTCTTGCCTCTGTCATTAGAGTGCTAGGATTAACAGTTGTGTGTCCCTGCAGCCCAGTTGTGTGCAGTGTTGGGGATTTAGCCCAGGGCTCTTGTGAGTATGAGACAAGTACTCTATGAAGTGAGCTACATCTGTTCTCAGTCCTAGTGGTGGGTTTTGAACCATAAGGAATTGGGAGATACAGACATGTCTAGCATGCATATATATGTATATGTGTTATTTGCTTTTCTAATATATTAAGTGTGTGTGTGTGTGTGGTTTAGATATTTTTTGCTAGTCTTTATTATTCATTGACCCTTAACCTTTCCTTTGACTTTTGATTTTTTTTCACGGTGGGGGATGGTTTGAAATTAGGTCTCATGTAGTCCAAACTGTCCTCACACTTCCTATTGAAGTGAGGATGACCTGGAACTCCTTATCCTCCTGCCTCTGCCTTCACTGAAGTTACAAAGTATGCACCATCACACCTAGCAAGATGCAATCTCATTTGCAGAAAACTAAAATATAGTTTTTAAACTAATTCATATAGACTACAAGGGCAAGAAAACTATGGTATATTGACCCTTGTGATTAAAACTGCTGTACATATAGTTACTAGGAATTAGAGTTCACATTCAAAATGGGTTTCTCAAGAACAGAGGATGCCCACTCCCATCCACTTTCCTTCAGGCCCATCTTGCTGGTACTACATAGTATCAAAACCAAGTATATATAAAGACACTATTCTAACAAACAAGTAAATGGAAAGATAAAAGCAAAATACTCCAGCTGGAGGTGTAGCTCATTTGATAGTTTACCTGGCGTACAGGAACACCTAGGTTCATTTCACAGTATAGCATAAATCAGGCATGGTGACACATACCTGTGAGGTCCCAGCACTTGGGAGATAGAGGTAAGAAGATAAGGGATTCCAGGTTTAAACCAGTCAGCCTGGACTAGTATCTAAAATTCGCCTTCTCCTGCTCTTCACTAAATGAGAAACTCAGATCAGCATTCAAAGTATTGTTGCTTTTCCCTTTCATGCATCTAAAAAGATTATCACAGGATGGAAAATTTAAAGCATAAATTAGTGCCTAACTCAGAATAATATGAAACTCTTTTTAGCATCGGCAGCTGTTTAGTCGCTTGACTTGTTAGAGTATATCCTTTTCCCAGCTAAAATCAGACCTTCAAATCTAGGCTCCATTATATAAAAATAGAGAATCTGATGCGCCTCATAGGATTTATGCTTTAGAATCAAGTGAACAGATTACTATGGAGTTCATGTTACAGGTAAAATAAATGTGATCCTCCGTATTGAGTTCATTATGTGAAAAATAATTGTGCTAATATCTTTGCAAACCTAACATTTTAGAGGGATGCTTAAAATTTTGTGCATTGCATCTGTATTATTTTTTATACAGTAGGCCTGTTTCTTAAGCATAGAGCAGCTATTGTTAGGTATGGATATATATAATTATTAAAATAAACATTATAATAATGTTCCATATAATTAAATAATTCATTATATATCCAAGCAAATATGAAAAAAGTCACTTTAGATCTGTATACTGATGAGGTTCAGAGGTCAAGTATGCCTTGTCTTTTCTGAGCATAGTATGATGGACTATTCCAGTCCAAAGACTATATTTGCTTTTTTAAAAACTATTTCTTTTTGAAATTATAATTACATCATTTTCCACCTTCTCTTTCCTCCCTTCAAACTCTCCCATATACCCCTCCTCCTTTTCTTTCAAATTTCTGGTCCCTTTTTTCATTAATTGTTTTTACATACATACATGTGTGTGCATGCACATATATGTATATATATACATGCTTGCATACATAAATAAAACCTGCTTAGTCTGTATCATGTTTATTGTATGTTGATTTTCAGGGCTAACCATTTAGTATTGAATAGCCAATAAGTGTACTCTTCTCTAGACTTCACCACCTAGACAGGAGACTATACTTGGCTGGCTTGCTTGATCGATTGTGGTGTGGTACAACACGGTGTACATGTGGAGGTCAGAGGTCAATTTTCAGGAGTGGGTTTTCTCTTTCCACCACATGGGTTCTGGGGATTAAACTCAGGTTTGGTGGCAAGTGCTTTTACATGCTGTGCTATCGCCCACTCTGAAGACTCTCTATTTTTTAGTTTATTCAGATAAATGGTGCCCAATTAAAAAATAAACAGCTTGTGCTTTCTTGATAGTTTCTGTTTATTTTTATGTATACACATTGCCATGTATCTGAAAAGTTCTTAGCAATGACTGCCAAGCTTTTATTTATAATGCCTGACGACTACTCATATTTGGAAAACACGCTGGTTTTGACCTGTACCCTACACAGAATACCTTGGTGGTTTTCTTTTATTCATGTGTATGTGTTCCCTCTTACTCCTCTGCTCTTCCTGAGGACCTGAGTTTGGGTCCCAGCACCCACATCACATGGCTTATGAGCCTGTAACTCCACCTCCAGGGATATCCGGCCCTTCTAGCCTCTTTGAGCCCTTGCATTCATATGTACACACACACACACACACACACACACACACACACACACACACACTTTAAAATAAATTGAAAAAAATGTTAAAAGAAGAATCCAGTAGTAGATACCATATATTAAGCAATGTCATATATTAGACACCCTGCAGATGGTTCTGTCTCCACAACAATTCTGTGCTTATCCCCATTTTATAGATAAGGAACCAGTATATGAAGGCCGTGATTACTTATCTGTGAAGTGGTGAAACCAGGCTTTGTTCTGCCTCCAGAAGTAGCTAACGAGAGGAAAAGGAGTTTTGAGATGATAGGATGTTTATGGGAGGGAGTACTGAGCTGAATGAATGGGCTATTGGAATTGCTGCGTCTAAAGGAAGCTAGGAGGGAAGGTCTTGAAAGATAGTATTCATCAGTAGTCTAAAGGTTATAGGAGGACCCAAGATGATGAGGATTGAGAGATGAGCAAATCCATGTATTGCAATGAACCATTTATTAAATAACCTCTAAGTGAAATGGTCACCAAATGTTTTATTGATGTTGTTGTTTTATTTTTTAGTAGATAGTCTAGAATGTTCCATTTTTCTCCTTTGAGTGTTGAAAACTTGAGATTGTGGTACCGACAGCATATAGTTGACTAAATATTCACTTGTGCTGGCTAATTTTATGTCAACTTGACACAAACTAGAATCACTGAGAGGAGGAAATCTCAATTAAGACAATTTCTCCATAAGATCGGGCTGTAGACAAGCATGTAAGGCATTTTCTGGATTGATGATTAACATGTGATGGCCCAGCTCACTGTGTGTGGTGGCGCCCCTGGGAGAGTGGTCCTGGGTTCTAGAAGAGAGCAGGCTGAACAAGCCTGGAGGAGCAAGCCAGTAAACAGCTCTCCTCCATAGTCCCTGCACCCGCTCCTGCTCTGCGTTCTTCCCTCACTGCTTTTGATAATAAGCTGTTAGATGGAACTGTGAGCGAAATAAACCCTTTCCTTCCTCAAGTTGCTTTTAGTCATGAAGT